GCAACTCAACTTAAAAACAAAATTTCAACGTAAATAAAAAAAATTTCATAAAATAATTGTCAAAAATGAATTGTGTTAGGGACGGAATTTCCGTCACTTTATAATTTTTTTAATCATTATTTATTCATAATTATTTTTCGAATTATTACCCTACCGAAAGAGTGGTACTGGAATGGTACTGAATTGGACTTGGCTTGAGTTCCACTTCAGTACCACTACCTGATAACCCATAACAAGACATTTTTAAAGTACTATAACAAGAATTTTAAAGGTATATAAGATCAACAAACCGTCTCTCATGATATACGTGTAAAACAGCAAAAAAAAACATAATAGTTTGTAGAAAATTTCTGTTAAGTTTGGAAATTATATTGCAATCCCTCCTTGAACAATAGACCCCTAGGTCCTTTGTTGAAGGATTAAACTTTTAACCCGAGTTTTATTGCTTAAAAAATTTATAATTTTAATAACTCCACTTTAAAAAATATATATTGAGATTCGATAATATTTCCAGATTATGAATATCTAAAATTTATCAAAAAATAATTACATTTAAAAAAGTTATAATTTATCTCGTATACCTTAAGTTTGACAAAAAAATGGACATCATTTTTGAATTTAGCTGACAAAGGACATATCATATGCATAATAATGTATGAAAATAATATAAATCCAGGAAAAACAAATATAATATTGAAATAAATATAAAGTATTAGTTTAAAAATATTGAAAAAGCTAGTCGCTTTTCACTTTTATGAGGGTATTAACGGTAACTCGATCCTTTTCGCAGGTAAATTTCCCAGTTCCATTTCAGTACCAAAATGCACCAAATTAGTACTGAGTTGGTACTGAGCCCTCAGTTCCAATTTTCCAGTACCACCCTTCCGGCAGGGTGGACAAGAAAATATACTTGTACAAGAAAATGTACATATTCTTGTACATATTTTTTGTGCAGGTTTCATATACATTTTCTTGTACCAGATGTGGAACATGTTCTTGTACATGTTCACTTATGTCTTTTAAATTAAAAGTTAAAAACTTTAAAGGCTGCGCAGTAGTTTTTTAAGCCTTTACAGCTGCGCAATAATTTTTAGCATGCATAAGTGAAGATTCTTAATAATTATAACTTATTAAAATTTCAAATTTTTTTCAAAAACATTTTTAAACAAATGTTCTTGTACAAGAACATAAACGTGTTCATGTTAAAGTACTTGTACATGAAACCTGCACAAAAAATATGTACAAGAACATGTACATTTTCTTGTACAAGTATATTTTCTTATCCAAGATCTTGTACAAGTTCTGGTACAAGAACATGTCGCAATTCCGGATGCTGAACTTGTTCAAGAACATTACTCGAACATGTACAAGTTCATTAATGAACATGTACAAGAATATGTACATTTTCTTGTACAAGTATATTTTCTTATCCAAGATCTTGTACAAGTTCTGGTACTAGAACATGTCTCAATTCCGGATGCTGAACTTGTTCAAGAACATTACTCGAACATGTACAAGAAAATGTACAAGTTAATTAATAAACATGTACAAGAACTTGTACATTTTCTTGTACAAGTTTTTTTAGCCGGGCAGTACCAATCCAGTACCACCCTTCCGGCAGGGAGGAAAAAAACATAAAACAAAAAGTTGAAATTGATAATATATGATTTTCCTTTATTGAATAATTTAGTTTACTAAATAATATCTATCAATGCATAATAATGAAGTGTATATAATAATAAGTGTATCATTTTCTAACCTAATTAATTAGAAAAGGGTGTACCTATGCTCAGAGCGCTAAAAGTGTGAACCTCAAAAACACCCAATGTTTATTATTGCCTTCTTTTATTAAAAATTTTTGTTTTTAAATTATGTAATTTTAAAAAAAAATTAATAGAATGGAATTTGCATAAGACAGTCACTTAATCCCTTTTGGAAGATTAAGTAATATTAATGAAAATTATAAGTAGAGTAGGTGGTTGAATGTATCACTGCCCCAGTTAAGAATGCAACGTTGTTGAAATTGCATGAAAATAAGGAGAAGTCAGGTTGATTTGTGTTTATTAATATAAAGTACAAGTGTCTTGAAAATATACAAGTTAAATAGAAATTAATTGAGAAATTCATTATAAATAAAATAAATGAGAGAAGACTTCCGCATACCTAAGTATCAAGTGACAAACAACGAGGAATACGATACTTTTCTGTTATGATTATAATTCTGGTAGGTCTTTTTAAATAATTGACTTTAATAAAACAGTTTCTTCTAAAATAAAATTAAACATACACAAACACACCAACATCACATTTGACGGATTTTTCCATGCTGGCTAGATCTAGAGGCCATTTCGAAAAATTATCTTCCCGGGAAATAGCATCCGTCCAGTCGGGTATTAGGACTTGTAGTCTAAAAAAAGGGAACAATGTATTTTGCTGTTATTTTCTCTCGATGGCAAGAGTAATTTATTTTATTTATTTATTAAATAGTTATTAATTATTTATTGATATATTTTATTTTTATAAAACGAGGCAACAAAATAAACAACTTACCCGCGTCGACCACCAAAAATCTTATCCACCTGTTGTTTTTCTATTTGAAAACGCTTTCAAAGCAAAAAACTCGTAGTGTCATTCACACCACTCCGCGCTAATTCCAAAGAGAGCATATAAGTATCATAGTCCAAAGTACTACCTGACATTTTTATAAATTTTTTTTTTTTTAAACTTGAGAAAAGAACACTGATTTTTTTGATTTAAAAGAAAAAGAAGAACACGAAAAGTATAGAAGGAGAATCGCGAAACGAATGATAGAATTATTAAATTCAATAAATACAAAAATACAATTTTTGAAACTATACAAAAAAAATAATAACGCAATAAATAAGAAACAAAGAGAGTGTAGAAATTAAATAAATTCCACAACGGGTATTGAACTTTGGAAATAATAAACATGTCGCAACAGCTGTCAGGGGACGACAGCAAGAAAAAAAAGAGGGTCAGGGGTTGGAGAATATTTTTTTTTAATATTTAGTCTCCAACATAATTTTTTTATTATTATTTTATATTAAATGTATTCATAGACTGTGTATTAAAAGTTTTTTTTTCATCTTTAAGTTTGTCAGTAATTGTAAATCTATAAATCGTGAAAATGTAATCATCATTTTTTTGTAAACATTTTTTTATTATATGCACATAAATAAATTTGGATATATAAGGAGATACATATATAACACATTTTTCTTTCTTTATTATTTTATTTGTATTCTTTAAAATTCGCTTCGTAAGCGAAGTGTTTTCATATCTCCATATATTTCTTATTGTTTTATTATATATCCATGTATTTAAATTTGATCTTATTTTTTTGTAAGTTTTTTTTGAGATCAGAAAAATTATCATAAAAAGGCAAAATAATTAACTAAATTATCTTTGCTTACAAGACATCATTTAATTGCATTTTTTTTAATTACAGTTTTTATTTTTTTTATAAGAAACAATAAAATTTAAATAATTGTGCTCATTTGGTTTTATTTTATTTGTCTGAAACAAATATATATCATTTTTCTTTTGTCTCATTTTTTTTATATCAAAAAATACAACAAATATTTTTTTTAACTCTCTTACATATGAAAACTAATTTATCCTTTTCATAAAAATCTTCCTAAAACAAAAAAAAGAGGAAACGACTATTTTTACTATTAAAAAAACATTATATATAAGGAAAAAGCAAAAATCAGTATTCGTTCAAACATTTATTACAGCTACTAAACAAACTACACCACTTTCATGAACCAGGATAAATTGTAAACATTTTAAAATGTATATCTACGAAAGGAATTTTGTAAAAAAATTATATTCGATGACATTACACATACACAGGCTGCAAAGGGACGTCAGCCAGAAAGAAGGGGCGTATTTGTTAGGGATGGAATTTCCGTCACTTTATAATTTTTTTAATCATTATTTATTCATAATTATTTTTCGAATTATTATATTGTAAAACACAACACACATTATTATTCTCATTGTGAATATTTTAATTATTATTTCAAAATTATTTAATAATTATGCCAAAGGTCTTTTCATATACTTTATTTATAATGAATCGTTAAATTGAAATAAGTTACAAAATAATAACATGATCTAAATTCTTATTATATCATTTAAATGTGGGTCTTCAATATATGATAGTTACTTAATCCCTTTTGGAAGATTATGTAATATTAATGAAAATTATAAGTAGAGTAGGTGGTTGACTGTATTACTGCCCCAATTAAAAATGCAACGTTGTTGAGATTGCATGAAAATAAGGAGAAGTCAGTTCCAAAATCATCTCTCCTTCTACATGAATCGGGAGTGATCATTGTCACCAATCTCATTGTTTAAAGGAGTTTAAATAGTCGGTCTTTCGGCCAGTAGAGATCGAATGATTAGTATTCGTTCAAGTGTTCAGTATCATTTCCCGCAGAGCGGATGTAGTGTTGATTCCCGCAAAAAGCGGAGGATTATATATTATTGAAGTCCCACAAAAAGTGGTTAAAGTTATTGATTATTCCCCGAGTTAGGGTTGATTTGTGTTTATTAATATAAAGTACAAGTGTCTTGAAAATATACAAGTTAAATAGAAATTAATTGAGAAATTCATTATAAATAAAATAAATAAGAGAAGACTTCCGCATACCTAAGTATCAAGTGACAAACCTCTTACTGTGACTTGGTGCTCGCAATGTCTTGAAATACGTCTAACGCACTGACCCCCCTGTTGAAAATTCCTATGTGAGAACACATATGGGATCCCATCCAGGATCTCTTGTGAGTTCTTATGTGGGTTCCCATACAGGTTCACACATAAGATCCTGTATGAAAAGGTTCCTGGGATGAACTTGCGTGAGATCAAGCGCACGATCTTATGTCTCTGTAAAAGCAATAACACAGGATCCCATGAGGTTTCCTGTGTAGGTTCCTATATGAACAACACGATAAATAGGAACACACATGGGATCTTATCCGAGATCTTGTATGATTCTTTTGTCAGTTTTCAGAGTCCTTTTAACCGTTGTAACAGTTAGAGGATTATGAGCTGACGAAAGAACTGTGACGATTTTTGAATCCATCCACTTTATAGCTCTGATATTGTTTTTCGTCCTGTACTCATATTCTCCTCTTTGTAATTTCTTTTTTTCTTTCATGATTTCTGGCAATCCTTTTCGATTTGTTCGTACAGTCCCAACAGAATAAATGTCTTTTTTACAAAGTGCATCTACAACATTTACAGATGTAAAAAAGTTGTCAAATGCAACCAATGATTCGATTCCTTCAAGTTCATGAGTAAGTTTCAAAACTACCCGTTCACCAAGTGGTTCGCTTGATTGATTTCCATTGCATTTTCCAGTGTAAATTTCAAAATTTACAATATATGAAGTTTTGGAATCAGCCAAACACCACATTTTGAAGCCTCTTTTGATTGGCTTTGATGGCAAATATTGCTTGAAACTTAATCTCCCTTTAAACTTTATCATTGATTCATCTACTGATAAAGTTTTTGAAGGAGTGTAAACTTCCTTTGTTTTTTTATTTAAATTGTCAAAGAGAGGACGAAGTTTGAAAATTTTATCGTAATCTAGATGACTTTATGGAAGATTATTATTATTGTCATTGACACGAAGTATTTCAGTAATTTTATGAAATCTGTCTCGTGGCATAATATTTGCTATAAATTCGACTCTGATCGCAGGGTCTTTAGACCAGTAATTTTTTAACTGTGGCAATCGATGTATCCCCATCAATAATATAATTCCCATCCAAGCTTGAAGCTCTGGAACGTTCAAATCATAATCATAATGTGAATTTCCCTGTTTTTGACTTCGATACAAATTGCTCTGCTGGACAATGTTTTCGAGAATGCTTTTATCAAAGAAAAGGTTAAAAAAAGTCTATTTCTTTATAGTTTTTATCTATTTCAACTGCAATTTTTGGTTCTTGCTCAAAATTGAGTTCCCTGGTAAAGTTTCTTACATTCTCAGTCCAGTTATTTACATCATATTCAACATCGTCTTCTTCGCTGCCTGCATTATCACTAGAAGATGAAGACTCATTATGAGAAAGATCAGGAAATTCATTATCTGAATCTGCATCTGCTTCTGAATCAGATGGATCAGAAGGTAACGAATAGTCTTCGATGTTTCATTTTTTGCTTATTCAAGAACTCATAATTTCGCCTTAGACGAATTACGTAAATCAATTTTAAATACGATTTCTTCTAGAAATGATAATACAAAAAAAACACTCACCTGAAATAAAAAATACGAACTCTACAAAATATATAAAAAAAGTTATAGAAAACCTATCTGCAATACAACACCTGAAATAAAAAACACGTACTCTTCAAAATGTACCAAAAAGTTTTAAAAATCCTACCTGCAATATGACAAATACGTGAAATAAAAAACACGTAATCTACAAAATTCCTGATAAAACCAACAATTATGTTCAGAGAAGCGAAATCTTATTCAATATGACTGAATATAAAGTGTGAAGACGCCAAATCACTAGCGAGAGCAAAATGAGTCAAATCCATCTATCGATAGAATCTAACAACGACTAATAGTATTCCCAAGTTTGCGCATGTCTGCGAAAAGCCCGCGCTTATTTAAATTCTTCTCTAACAAAGTTGCGAAACATTGTATTTTAAAAAACATATTTTCTAACAATATTTAATTCATAATAATGGAAAAAATCTTCATTTTCAAAAACCAAATAATTTATTGTCACGTCCCGAGCTAAGGTAGAGTTTATTTATTATTTATAATAATAAAAGGGAGATAAGTTACTGATTAATCAGGTTGGTAAAGCCTGATATTTATTTTTAATGTAGGATCGTGTCACTTTGTCAAAACTAAGGGTTTTGTGTCAAGCGATTAAAGAAAAATATTCCTTTTTATGATTTGCAATTTATTAATAACAATATATAATTACAATAGTACTTACAATTGATTCGTTGAAACTATGTAATGTAACAAGCGGCAATCAGGATTACAAATATGTGTCTTTGGATGCGTTGTTATACAAATCATAAATTGTTACACTTACACAATTTAGATTTTATACGACAGTTAAGAATTATTTAACTCGAACAAAAGAATTATATTGTTTAAAATTAAGAGAAACTTGTTTCTCTTTTACAAAACTTTTGTAAAACTCACTAAACTCGCGAGTTTAAATAACGAAGTTTAAACAATTACCAAACTGAAGGGCCGATTCTCAGACACTATTCGGGCAGAAACTCGTCCGAGAAACTGACATTTTGCAATATAAAAACTGGGGTTTATATATTACATGATCTTTGTTAATTGGGTTGAATTGTCACGTATAATTTGCAGACAGCGCAATTATCACGTACAATTTTCATTTAGCGCAAAAGTCACGTACATTATTTATTAATAGAATTATAATAATATCTTAATTAATTTATTAAAATTTTAGTTTATTGATTATTAATTAGTTGATTGCAGTCACTTAGGATGTATAGTGATCGACAATTGATATTATGAAAAACAATATTAATATCGAGTAATGATCAAGAATCTTATTGAATTCTTTAATCTACTATATATATATATATATATATATATATATATATATATATATATATATATATATATATATATATATATATAACACATCTGCTTTATGCGAGTCTTCAGCATTCAGAGGTGTTACATTACATCTATCTTTCACTATTAACATCGTGAATGACTCATATGTATGTAATGACCTTTATTTAAAAGAGATAATTTAATTTGTTTATGATCCATCTTTTAAGAATTTTTTGGTACCGGGATGTAACATTTATTAACATTTTTTTTGTTTTTTGGTCTAATGGATTTTTAATTTATGCAATTAATGAAATACATAGTTGTAAATAAAATAATATCTTTTTCATATAATTTTGAAAATCATATAAAAATTACATTAATATTTAATAATTAAATTAAATTAATAGTTATTAATTTAATTTTTCATTTTTAATAATTTTCCAAAAATTATTCATCAAAAAGTTAATAATAATAATAAATCACAACTATCTTTTCAAGCGAAAATTAATGGTTTTTAAAAAAACTTATCCGCCATGTTGGATCCGCCATTTTGAATTTTTGAAAGCTAACATCGGATTCGTAATCAGCGACCCCAAAAACCTCCGAGTAACGAGTTTCAAGCGAACTGCATTAGATTTTTCAAAATCGTCCGCCATATGAGATCCGCCATTTTGAATTTTTAGAAATTTTAAAAATCTGACTTCAGATTCGTAATCAGCGACCCCAAAAACCCTCCCGTAACGAGTTTCAGGCGAATTGCATTAGATGTTCCAAAAGTTGTCCGCCATATTGGATCCACCATTTTGAATTTTTGAAAACTAACACCGGATTCGTAATCAGCGACCCCAAAAACTCCCGAGTGGCCATTTTCAAGCGGATTTAATCACTTTGAAAAAAATTGTCCGTCATGTTGTATCCGCCATTTTGAATTTAAAAAATTTGAAAAACCTGACCTCAAATTCGTCATCAGCGACCCGAAAAACTGTAAGAACAATTGCACTTTTCTTTTTTGAAGTTCTCAGATTAGCTTGGGAACGAAAGGGTTAAAAAATTTAAATGATCCATTTTTGAAATTTATGCTGTAATTAACAATCAATTAAATTTTTTTGCTTCACATTTTATGTGCACTTATAGACACTCGAGTGATACACGCCGTTCAATGGAGAAAAAGCCTTACCATGACGATGAGGCCAGCCCATGACGCACAAGAAAAACTGATTTTTTCAACAATTTATTAACAATTTTAATCTGTTTCATATGCATGTTATTTATATTCACTGAACTAATACTACTACACAACATTTGACATAAAATATAAATAATTATTAATTTTATTGAGAAATATTTAAAGGCCAGACCATGACGATTCTGTGATTCCCTATGCACATTTGATGCTTTTAATGTGTGAAAAACAAAAAAATTAATTCTGAAAGCATTTTCTCTCTTAGTAATTCACTTAGGAGAGCTTATTGTTGCTTTTAACTAATGGTGAGAGAAGTTTCGATTTTATTTTTATGTAAAAAAAATGCTATTTTATAAAAAGGCCAGACCATGACGCAAAAACGAGGGACAAGAATTAACACCAAAAAAATAAAAAACAAATTTTTTTTCACAAATGTTTTTTTTTCACAATTCTACTAACATAAACAATACGAAACTATCAATAGTTTTTATATTAATTACTGTATTTTACTAAAAATAACATTTTTTTATATAAAAGTGGTACTGGGGACAGGTCATACCATGACGTTTTGGCACCTTAAAAAAGCTTTTTAAGTAAAATTCTAAACTTTTAATTAAAAACGACTATGGGCTTTTGTTTGTATACATAGAAATTAGTTTTTCCCATTGGATTTATTGCAATATATGCAAATGATTTTTTAAAAAATACGAGGGACTTTAAGTTGTGCGTTACGCTGGGAATCGCCCATATGTGACCGTCCACGACAAAACAAGGCTTAGCTCCCAAAAAATCAATTTTGAGTTTTTAATGCTAATCGATAGATTTCAAGTTGCTCTTTCACATGAAAAAGTCAGAAATTGTTTATGTCAATTACTTTTGACACTATAACGTTCTAAAGACGGGCATGTCAAGCGTGTTCCTTGTTTCTGCTTCTAGTTCAATCGCTTGCCCTGTGAAATTTACATGTTTGATGTCTGTTTATGTCAATTACTTTTGACACTATAACGTTCTAAAGACGGGCATGTCAAGCGTGTTCCTTGTTTCTGCTTCTACTTCAATCGCTTGCCCTGTGAAATTTACTTTTGGGAGCTAAGCCTTGTTTTGTCGTGGACGGTCACATATATTATAATATAATTATTTTTAATATATTTTCTTATTACTCTATGTTTACAGTAACCACACAGTAACCTTACAATAACCTTACGGGAAGCTTACAACAACCTTACCATGTAAACTTACCACAACTTTACCATGCAAACAAACCACGACCTTATTGTGTAAGCTTACCTTAGCTTTACTGAGTAAGCTTACTGTAATGGCGGAAGTTGTAAGATGACCTCAAGTTTACTGTAGGCTTACACGGTAACCTTAAAAAGCCTACAGATATGCTTACAGTAACGTCACAGTAAGAAGTCGTGCTATGTGGGATTTCATTTTCAACATAAATTCAATTTCATCATATTTTTTCTTTCAATTAGCTTTAAATAATTACTGTGTATTTGTGAGTGTCTTTTAAATCATGTGTGTTTTCAGAAAGAAAATTTACTTTTCATTCTTTACTGAAGTATCAACTTTTTCTCTTTTTAAAACATTTTTTCAAAAATATGAGCGATAAATCCCACCGCTGCCACCATTTTGTTAAAGACGGAAGTTAAATTGACAAAAAAAA